TTAGGGTTTAGGATTTAGGGATCCTTTAGAAAATGGAGTACAAAAAAAGGGCACCCAAGTTTATACTGTTACTGGGTCCCTCAGTGGTACCCTTTTTCCTTTTTTTCTTAGGGTCTTGGTTTGGGTTTTACGGTTCCCTTTAAAAATGGAAAACAGAAAAGTTCTAAAGGTTCCTTTCAAAAATAGAATACAGAAAAGGCTTTAGGGTTTCCTTGAAAAGCAGAGTACAGAAAATGTCCCTAAACCCTAAACCCCCAGCCTACTGGGTTATTTAGGTCAACTACCTGGAGGAGTATTGCAGCACCCGGCCCGCGTCAAGTGGGCCCATCCTCTTATCGGCTTACAGCCGCATTGGCAGCGCCGTTGATTATCAGGAGCCCTAAACCTTAAATCCTAAACCTCAAACCCTAAACCCTGAATCCTAAGCCCTAAACCCTGAACCCTAAGCCATATAAACCCTACGCCCTACACCCTAATCCCTAAACCCTAGGATGTGGAATCGAGTTATATACTAGGTTGGAGCCGCACCCTAAGCCCCAAAGCCGCGTTGGCAGCGCCCTGGATTTTCACTAGGCAAGTTTTAGCGAGCTCACCCGAGCTCACCCTTTATTATGGGTACTATTAGGGATATCAAAAAAGACCTTAATTCAGGATTCAACATGCCCAGTACACCCTAAACCCTAAACCCTAAACGTTTAACCCTAAACGAAATTATCCCAACTTGCCCACAAATTTGCAGGAGCGGCCCACGAAGACCATCGAACCTTGTCCATCAGGCTGGGGGTTGACGTAAGTCCGAAGTCGGCTTCGAGTTTAGGGTTCCATGAGGGTTTAAGGTTTTTAGGGTTTGGGGTTTAGGGTTGAGGGTGTAGGGTTTGGGGTTTAAGGTTTGGGGCTTGGGGTGGTTTGTCTTATGGGTTCTTTGCTTTCTGAGGAGATATATAGACGCTCGTGTCGGGAGATACGGGGACTTTCCCGAGACATATCGGTAACGGAAAGAGAGACGAACTATAGCTTTTGCAGTGATGCTTTGCTGTTGCCGTCATTGCCCCAGGCGCGATCGGCAGCGAGATTTGCCCTCGAGGCATCGAGGTGCGCACCGGGGATATGGTCGCAGGCCCGCTCTCGACCGGCATCTGCAACGACCAGAATGCGCAGACGGTGAACAGCGTCCTGGCGCCGAGGCTTCGGAGCATCCTACGCACCTGCCAGGAAAGGGGGCTCGGCGTCGCCGGGGTGATGGTGGACTACGTAAACATGGAAAATGCCGCGATCATGGACGCCTTGCGCTTTGCCATCTCACGAGGGCCAGGAGAGGTCCCCTTTCCACAACCACCCTTGCCAAACCTTCCGAACAGCAACAATGGCAGGTGCGGTGTGAACTTTGCTACAAGATGCTGGCAGAACGGGTATCAGTGCTGCAGCCAGCATGGCTGGTGCGGCGGCTCAGACGGGCACTGCGATCAGTCTGCAGGCTGTCAAAGTGCTTACGGCACCTGCAACCAACCGGTGGTCACCCTCACTCCACCAAACAGCACCAACGGAAGGTGTGGTCTTCCGAGTGGTGGCCCGGATTTCGGGACAAGGTGCTGGGTGAGCGGCTACGAGTGCTGCAGCAGCGCGGGCTGGTGCAGCAACTCGGGTGTCTCGCAGGCTGCGGCCTTACCCATCAGTACCAATGGCCAGTGTGGCGAGGGGCCTGGGACGAGGTGTGCACAAGGCTACTGCTGCAGCCAGTACGGCTGGTGCGGTAACTCAAACAACCACTGCCAAGGAGGATGCCAGGGTTCCTATGGCCAGTGCGGATAATGCCAATCCATGCCAATTCCAAATGGGAGTTTCCTAAAATAGGGGGCCCCAATATGGACGCTAAATAAGAAGAGGATCATTATACAAGGAACCCCTAAAGAGGACCCCGATTTTCGGAAACTCCCAAATTTTGTTCCCGCTAGGCTTACTAGAGATTTGCTGGCAGCCCCCCATCTCCATGACTTTACAGGTAGGTGAGATTACAGATAAACTTGAGCAATGGCCGTGCGTAGGTTCAGGGCATGATATGACGGGACACGATTTCTCTCATATGAACCTTCCATGAACTAGGAACAGGTCTACATTGCACAAACTTCCCACACATGATTGGGGGGTGTGGGGGTGACCTCAGCCGACCGTTTGTGAACATAAAATTCGGTTTGAGCAGTAATCTCAACTTAAATGCCCGTCGATGCAGTCGGTGAGCTCCGGACACAAAGTCCTGTTGCCAAGTGACTGCGACAAAAGACGGGACACAGAGATGAGCGCGCAATCAAAACTCATAGCCTGCCATGAAACCCCAAACCCTAAAACCTAAACCCTAAACAGAAGCAGGGCTTGTCTTAGTAGGCAGCGCCGATGCAAGGTAGAGTTCACCGAGGGGTCGCCTTTGAGAGACACGCATAGCAGCCGAGAGTGCTGGTTGAGGTTGTGATCCGCGCTCTGCCAACACCGCGTTTAGGGTGCTGAAATTCTGACTTCTACTTTCTACTGGGGTTCCAAATCCCTTAGAGTCTAGCAGATGCGGGGTGTTCTTGAATCCTGATGATACGGCTCCTTCTAATATCTCTTGGCTATCTTCTGCTTGGCTGTTAAGACTTGAACCTTTTGGATTTCCGGTTATCTTGAAGAAGGAGGCTCGAAGTTTAAGTTTCCAGGCGGGTCCTAGAGACAGCTAAGAAATGGTACGGGTTCCATTTGGGGAACAACAGTTTAGGCAAACCAGAATGAAGAAGGGGCAGGACGCCAGACTCCATGCTCAAGGGACGTGTAACCCTGGGCACTACCTAGGTACTAAGGCTAAGCATCAGTGAATCTCTGAGGTATCGTCGTCGCTGTCAGTGGTCGAATTGGCAAAGCGCGGGAGGTTTATTATTTATCAAAGTAATACCAATTTTGCTAGTCCTTCTAATTATTTAAAGATCTTCTTTATTGTGGTGTTCTTGCATTATGATATTCTTATGCTATGGCACAATTATAAGATAAAATATATATCTTGGACGGATTCTTTATAAAGAATTAGATATAAGAAATCATCTGATGATCCCAAGCAAATAGCAAACTGATAATATGCCTGATAA